ATGGGACAGGAGAGAAGAGAGGGAGAGAAGGGGAGAAGGAGAGGGGGAGGGAGAGAGGAGGAGAGGTGCAGACAGAAGAGAGGGAGGAAGGAGAGAAGAGAGAGGGATTGGAGGGTGCAGACAGGAGGGAAGGGGGAGGGAGGAGAGAGAGTGAGGGAGGGAGGAGGAGAGAAGGAGAGAGGAAGGGAGGAGGAGAGGATAGAGAGGAGGGAGAGAAAAGAGGGAGAGAGTGAGCGGTGGGGAGGGTGTGAACGTGAGAAAGAAGAAAGCAGGATGATGAAAGAGGACGCTCCTGGGAAAAGTGTCTCTCAAAATGTCGACTCGTGTTTTGTTAAATGTTTCTAAAGACGTGTTGAGTCGAGGCCGATTAAATGACATTTGTTCTTTCATTTGATCTGCTCAACTTTGGAGCTTTAAGTTTAATCTAGTGTTGTTTAAATATCAGGATTCTGTTCAAAGTTCACATTTTAAACACGTCCAGGAGAAATGTAAGAATCAGAAACGGTCAGAAATGTCGCTGTTTTAAAGGAGGACAACCACATATGTTGTTAATTAGAGTCCGTCCACACTGCCCCATTGAACTGTGCCCAAGCACGGAACGCCCAAGGACAGACAAACATGCCCGGGCCTGGTTGGGACTTTGGCACAGTTGGGACTTTGGCACGGTCGAGACTACAGCGTGTTCAGGACTTTGGCATGTTTGGGACTACGGCGTGTTCAGGACTATTGAGCGGTTGGAACTTTGGCACGGTCGAGACTACGGCGTGTTCAGGACTTTGGCCTGTTCAAGCGGGACTATGGCGCGGTCGGGACTATGGCGCGGTCGGGACTATGGCGCGTTCGGGACTATGGCGCTTTCAGGACTATGGCGCTTTCAGGACTATGGCGCGTTCAGGACTATGGCGCGGTCGACACTAATGGCGCGTTCAGGACTATGGCGCGGTCGACACTATGGCGCGGTCGGGGCTACGGCGCGGTCGAGACTATGGCGCGGTTGGGACTATGGCGCGGTTGGGACTATATGGCGCGGTTCGAGGACTATGGCGCGGTTCAGGACTATGGCGCGGTCGACACTAATGGCGCGTTCAGGACTATGGCGCGGTCGACACTATGGCGCGTTTCAGGACTATGGCGCGGTCGACACTAATGGCGCGGTCGAACTATGGCGCGTTCAGGACTATGGCGCGGTCGACACTAATGGCGCGTTCAGGACTATGGCGCGGTCGGACTAATTGGCGCGGGACTATGGCGGTCGACTATGGCGGTCGGGGACTATGGCGCGGTCGGGGCTATGGCGCGGGTCGGGCTATGGCGCGGTCGACACTAATGGCGCGGTCGAGACTATGGCGCGGTTGGGGCTACGGCGTGGTTGAGACTATGGCGCGGTCGAGACTACGCCGCGGTCGGGGCTACGGGGCTACGGCGGGTCGGGGCTACGGCGCGGTCGGGGCTACGGCGCGGTCGGGGCTACGGCGCGGTCGAGACTACGCCGCGGTCGGGGCTACGGCGCGGTCGGGCTACGGCGCGGTCGGGACTACGGCGTGGAGGGGACTATGTCGTGGTTGGAAATTTGGCCCGGTCGGGACTATGGTGCAGTTGGAGGAGGTGGTCAAAGCACGGCCTGGTTGTTGATGTACATGCACATGTACAATTTATGTTCACAAACTCTGTTGATGTGAGTTTGGGCCGTGGAAACCTGTGTTTTTTATTTTACATGTGCTCATTATTTTACTTTTATAATGAGCACAGATGAAAAAACCTCAAGGAAATCAGATGGAAGATTCCCCTTAACTGTGCCCTAAATGAAACTAAGTTAGTTCATCAATTTACATGTAAATAATTAATAATCAGAATAAATATTATATATATTTGTATTAATTACACACACAAGTTACAGTAAATCTCAACACATTTGTTCATGTTGAGCAGAAGTATTGTGATTTGAGAAGCATGAGCACTCTGCTTTTACCCCTGTGGCATGACATGGCTCCTGACATGAGTTGATTCTGTTCATGGCAGCACTAAGGAAATAATTAATATTTCTTCCCAAATCAACAGATACAGATGCTCTAGACCAGGGGTGTCAAACTCATTTTGGTCCGGGGGCCGTATCCATCCCAGTTTGATCCCAAAGGGGCCGGATCAGAAAACTCATGTCATATAAACCCCAAAAATAACAATAAGTTCAAATATTTGTGCAGAGAAACACAAATCTATTATGTATGTTTGACACCCTGCTACAGGACATGAGAAACAAGAGAAACATATTTAAAACATGATTTCATAGTCAACTTCTGCGAGCAAATGAGGATGGAAGATTGTTAAAACGACATAAACAAGGCGCGACATTTTGGTCTCTACATTCACATTTCATTTTATTATGATATAGAATGATGATTTTCTAACTCAGTACATCACAGAGCGTCACACGACCGACTAAAGGCCGGCGAGAATATCCCCCCTCTCTCGGGCGCAGCAGTTACCCCAGTGCCGCCCAAGAGAAGAGGGCACCTGGAGGGAGGAGGGGGACGCTCAAGCTGGGACTTTAGAGCCAGGGGGACGCTTGAGCGTGTTTTTTAAACATGTCGCTCTATCAGATAATTCCACATTTAGTGACAGTGACGTGATCTAGTGCAGGTGTGTTTTCTGTCTGTTTTTGGTGTATTCTTGGCGTGAGTTTGGTGTGTTTTTTGTTTATTTTTTGTCTGTTTTTTGTGTGTTTTTTGTTTATTTTTTGTCTGTTTTTGGTGTCTTTTTTGTCTGTTTGTGGTGCATTCTTGGCGTGACTTTAGTGTGTTTTTTGTTTATTTTTTTGTCTATTTTTGGTGTGTTTTTTGTCTGCTTTTGGTGTTTTTTTGTCTATTTTTGGTGTGTTTTTTGTCTGTTTTTGGTGCATTCTTGGCGTGAGTTTTTGGTGTGTTTTTTGTCTATTTTTTGTGTGTTTTTTGTCTGTTTTTGGTGTATTTTTTGTCTGTTTTTGGTGCGTTCTTGGCGTGAGTTTGGTGTGTTTTTGGTGTGTTTTTTGTCTATTTTTTTTGTGTTTTTTGTCTGTTTTTGGTGTGTTTTTTTGTCTGTTTTTGGTGTGTTTTTTGTCTATTTTTGGTGTGTTTTTTGTCTGTTTTTGGTGTGTTTTTTTGTCTATTTTTGGTGTGTTTTTGGTCTATTTTTGGTGCGTTTTTGGTGTGTTTTTTGTCTGTTTTTGGTGCGTTCTTGGCGTGAGTTTGGTGTGTTTTTGGTCTATTTTTTGTGTGTTTTTTGTCTATTTTTTGTGGGTTTTTTTGTCTATTTTTGGTGTGTTTTTGGTGTATTCTTGGCGTGAGTTTGGTGTGTTTTTTGTCTATTTTTGGTGTGTTTTTTGTCTATTTTTGGTGTGTTTTTTGTCTGTTTTTGGTGTGTTTTTTGGTGTGTTTTTTGTCTATTTTTGGTGTGTTTTTTGTCTATTTTTGGTGTGTTTTTTGGTGTGTTTTTTGTCTGTTTTTGGTGTGTTTTTTGTCTATTTTTGGTGTGTTCTTGGCGTGAGTTTGGTGTGTTTTTTGTTTGTTTTTTGGCTGTTTTTGGTGCATTCTTGGTGTATTTTCCCGCGATTACCTGCCTCTCTTCCCCTGGCACAGTTATTGGCAGACTCGTTGGGCACCTGTCTTGGCACCGTGGTCAAACGTTGCGTGTCAGCAGGGACCCTCTGAGCCCCCTGGTGCTCTGCTGCCTCCCTGGTCCAATCCCGTCCCTGCGCTTTTATCATCCAGGTTAATTTCTGCCTGTAATCTGATTAGGCCTGAGCCGCTTTAGCCGCCGCTGCTGCTGCACTCCGCGCACTCCAACCACCGACCTCCACTCCCGTCAGCCTCCTTCTCCTTCCCAATTATCTACTTTTACCTTTCATACTCCTCTCCTTTCCGCTTTCCTTGGATTACGCGCTCGTTTCGCTCCGGTTTATCTTCCCCTAAACATGTTCAGGAACCCGTGGATCTCGAGCTTCCACTTCAGTCATGTGCCCAACGGCGGCCAAGGTAAGACCGGTCGGCGCGCAGGGCTCAGGTTTAAGGGGCCTCCGGGACTTAGGTGGTCTCCAATTAACGTGACTTTGGCGTGAATTCCTTTAAAGCTACGCACAAGCCCGAGTGACCCAGCTAATGCAATTTACTGCGAGGAGGGAGACGGGGCCGCGGGCTGCAGGCGGGGGTCAGTATTCAATTACACTGACAATTGAAATTTATCTTAATTATGTCGGATTTAATCATTTATCATGTCGCACTTGCTCTTTTAACTCAATTTTCATTCAAGTAATCTGCAAAATACAAATTGTTTCAGTCTCCTTTGTGTTGTATTGTTGTATTTGTCAGATAAATTCTACATTTTATTTTTATTTCCAACATTTCCCAGCAGCTTATCGATATATTTGTGTCTATCTGAGTTTATTTTTGTGAGTTGTTTACACTGAAAGTTCTCTGTGTTCTCTGTTTTATGAGCGCTGCTGAGGCTATAGTTGGTCGTGTTGTAATGAGTCTAATTTTATCAGATATCGAGTGGTCACTTGTTTATTTGCGCACGGGCATGTGTCTGTCTGTCTGCAGCGCTGTTACACACACACACACACACACACACACACACCACATGATCCGAGGCTCAGGGGCCAAAGCTGGAATCAACATTACTATTCTGTGTTTTGCAATAGTTGTTTTTCAAATGTTTGTTTTCGAGAGACTTGGAGAAGCACCAGGGTTAAAGGTTGGAAAGAGGATTTTTTTTTTTTTTTAAGGGAAGAGAGATACGGTGACAGTCCTTTTTCAAAATGTTGTGCATGCGTGACACCACCTTCCTCCTCCACAGCCTCCTCCCGCCTCCTTTCCTTACTCTAGAAATCACGCTTGTTTACAGCCGGTGCGCGTTCAGAATTACCGTTGAGAAATAATTTAGTGACTGACGCGTCAGTTTTTAGACCCTTCGGCGGCTTCATTCACGCAATCGCTGGATCAGATCTCCGAGAATCACCTCAGTTTGGCTTCGCTCCTTTTCCCCTTCTCTTCTTCTTTCAGCGACGTCAAAAACTGACTTTTTCCTGCGGCGAACTGGTCGTGGATTCTCGTCCGCCGTCTCGACAAACTTTGCGCGAAATGTGAGGAAGCGACAGTTTAAAAAAGCCTCTAAGAACCGCCGCATAAACCACGTAATCCCCGCACGCCGACGTGTCATTTACACTAGAAACGTAGGGAGTTTGATTGACGACTGAACAGCCAATAGAAAATGAAGGAGCCTCGTTTTCTATTGGCTGATGTTTATCTGGCCTCACGACGTCCACAGTTGATCGATTTTCATTCTTTTTTTTTCATAATTACAAGGCTGCTGCATTTCTGTAATGATATTTTAAACTTTCATTGACAATTTGAAACAAAAAAAAAACTCCATACAACCTTTAAGACTATTGTGTGCAGGAAAATTCTACTGTTACAGGTGTCACAGGTGAGAAGTGAAGTCCTCAGTTGTTTCATTTTTTAATTTGTTTTATATAGCGTTTTAGTCTCTGTTTCAATTCTTATTTACAACAACTTTACTAGTGATTTCTTATTTCTTAGACCTGGTTTAGGCCGAGGTTACATTTGGTGGCACTCCTATAGTCAAACCGTGTCTTTTTTTAATACTAGACCAGGTTTGTCAAACATACGGCCCTGGGTCCAGATCCGGCCCTCCAAGACCTTTAATCTGGCCCTCTGCTGATTTTCTACTAAAATATTTTAATTCTATTTTTTATTAAAATATTGTTAATTTTCTGTGGTGTTTATCACAGCAGCGTCTCTGTACGTGGCCCCTCCCACCAGAGCAGCACAAATGAAGACTTGTCTCTTTCCAAACGCTCTTAAAGGACGATCGTTTTGACTGTTGACCGTGACACCCTCATCAGAAAAATGTCCAACATGAGAAAAGTGGAGCCGAGTGCAGGATTTTACAACAAAAATTGACTTATTCCTATTTGCACACAAGTTCATGTTAAAACATTGTGTTGAAATTGAATTTTTCTTTAAGTTTCAGGTTGTTCATAATATTATAATATTTTGTAAAAGAAAGAGTTCATCAATTAAAAAAGATTTCTGTAACAGATTTGTGTTTCTCTGCACAAATATTTGAACTTGTTGTTATTTTTGGGGTTTATATGACATGAGTTTTCTGATCCGGACACTTTGGGATCAAAGTCGGTTGGACACGACCCCCGGACCAAAATGAGTTTGACACCTGTACTAAACGCTGACTTGAACACCATTTAATGAAATTAGGAGTCCCTCGTTCATCCAGGGGTGGTCCAAGGTGTAGGACATGAGTGTCAAACTCACATTCACTGAGGCCAAAATCAAAAACTGGGACTAAGTCGTGGGCCAAACTAAATATTTATTGAACATTTTTAATAACATCTGCATGTTTTCTCTTCTTTCAAGATATGTAATGTTAAACCTTTTCTTATTAAAATAAATGTTTAATAATAGTTTTGCTTAAACACTGAATCCAGAACAAACATAATATAAAATAACAACGACATTTTAAATAAATAATGTGTCTATAGTCGATCTGTAGCCAGTGGGCAGCTCTAATACATGTTTGATACGATCTCGCAGGCGAAATATAATTATATCACGGGCCAAACTGATCCTCAGGCCTGAGTCTGACATGTCTGGTTGTTACGATCCAGCTCGCGTGGGGTCAGGGACGTAACAAAAATAAACCGAAATGGAAAAATGGAATAAGTGTAAGTAATGTTTAATTAACATTGCAAAGGTAAATTAACAAAACAGACTAAAATGTACAGAAAATAATCTAAACTAAGAAACAAAACAACAGACAACGAGTTTTGTGGCACAAACGGGTCACGCAGGTTTACACAAAAACTAAGGGACACACACGAAACCAAAACACAAGTTCCCCAAATTAAACCACATAAACCCACAAACAGAATCGAGTGACCAATTTAAAAAAGGCACAAAACAGAACTAAACTAAACTACAAGAACTATACATGCACACGAAAACAACGACAGATTGCCTGCCCCAATCAGGTGCCGGCAGTCTTCTTAAATAGTGGGCGGCGGCTGCAGGTGAGGTGGGCGTAAACATGCTCCACCAATCACAAACCAGGGCTCCCACGGCAGGAATCAAGGCAAAATAATTTAAAACACACAAAACAAATCGAGAGCTTTCTGGTCCCATCCAGAATCCTTTTCTCTGTGATGGACCTGGTCACTTTGTTTACACTGAGCGAAACAAGTCCACCCTCGAAAGGAAGGAGTTTAAAGTCAAACTGTCCATCATTCTGGGTAATTATACCACTATTCTAATTTGGCAGACGTTCCTTCACTGCCGTTAAGTACCTGATGAGCTTTTCATTGGCCTGATCTCTCTCAGGGCGTGAGGATGTTCCTGTAGAAGCCGGCAGGTTGTACTTTTACCAAATGTTTGAGCTCTTTTGACAATAACAGCTTCCTTCACAAACTCCCTGAGTGTCTGAGTTGATAAAGTTTTATTTTGAGACATATTTACGATGTCATTACTACTGGGCCCAGTCAAGCAGAAGTAAACAACAAGGCCAAAAATTCAAGTTAATGCATCTGATATAAAAATGTATTGAACAGATACATATGTGCTCTAGTTTATGAAACTGTTGACCTTTTTTCTGTACCATTTTTGGTTCTAAAGTTCCATACGTTTTAAACAGACCATGTATGAAACATGGAACAAAAATTATTTCCCAAATTTCAAAGACCTGAAAATCATGTAAATAAATGGATGTATTTCATCATATCTTGTGTTATTCCATCTTTGAACTGTTGATGAAGGTACATGATTTTTCAAAAAAAAAAAGTATTTAAAATGATAAAAAATTTGCTTGGAAGGACTGACATATTTTATAGAAATAGTTTCCTTTCATTTTGAAGTAATATTAAAGTATTCAGAAGAAAAAAAGTGACAAATTATGTAAAATCCTGCACCTTCTACTTGTTTGAACAATTTTCCCTCCGTTACTTTTCCCTCCGTTACCATGACCTTTCTTAATAAAAAAATCTCATTAGTCAAAAAGTAAGAGGTTTTTCAACCTAATCTTGTACCATATGGTAGAAAACTATATGAAGCAAATATTCAAACCAGTTTGTTAAGGATATGTAAGTGAGAACCAAGAGTTATCACTGTTTGTATTTATTGCCCAAAAAGTGCTGCATATTTCATTCCCTCCGTTACCAACATGAGTTTTTTAAATTTTTTGTCAACAACTTGAAAGAATATCACAGGTTTAACTTGACCCTGTTGGAGTGTAACTCTTTCCTACATTCTGATACTTTACTTATTTCAATAGTCCCTCTAGTTTCTGAATAAGAGACATTTGAATGTCAAAAATCTGCCCCTGTTTCCCTCCGTTACCACTTGACCAGACTCTGCTACAGCTTCTTCCAACTGCTCTAAACTAGATTTAACTTGAGATATTATTGGGAAACTGACTCGCTCATGGCAGAAACATTTTACAGATCTCTAACCTGAAATAAACCGGAGGAATACTGCAAAGTCTAGACTGTTTTCAGATGAGTAGCAGGTTTTAGGTAGTAGACAGGACCACCTTTACTTTCAGTCTGACTTGTAATTGTATTTATATCTAAAGGTGTTCAAACATTGTGCTACAGTGAACAGTTATTTATTCCAGATGTCAGACGGTGTGAAAGCGAATGCCTCCGTGTTCCCCGCGGCCCCTCGTGCTCGGTGGCCGCCTCCCGGTTTCCTCCGAGTCCTTTTAGCGTCTGCGTATTTATAGCCCGTGCGTGTCTGCGTCTGCGTCTGTGTAGGAGGACTTCAGCCTAATCTCTGTGCCTCTGCCAGCTCCTCTCAGCTGAAGGACCGTCTGAGGAGAGGGGCTTTCCAGGGACGGCCGGCCTCTGGAGCTGGAGTCGTCGTGGTTAACGAGAGAAGACCAGTTTAGATCTAACGCATCCGTCGGTGATTGGAAAGACCCACCTGAACGATTTGACCAAAACCTGTGAAACTACAGTCCTTTAGATCTTCACTTCTGACCTAAGGCTGGATTTACCGTAGTCAACAGTGGCTCAGTGGCTCCATAACCCGAAGATTGGCACATTACAACTGCATTCAGATGACATTAGTCAAAGGGAGTATCAGTTTAGTGACCACACGTCCGTATTTACCCGGGACAGTCCCAGTTTTGAGTCCTGTGTCCCCTGTCCCAGCAGATTTATCCAAAACCACTAATTTGTCCCAGTTTTACACAAGAAATGTCACTGGTGTCTCTATTTTTGACCAATCTGAACCCCCCCAACAGCCAGGAATTGTCATTTGTTGAGGTAAAATTCAAAAAAGCTGCTTAAAAATGACCAAAACACAAAGAAAATGTGATTATACTGACTCAGATATTCGTCATGAATGGGCCGAGTGCAATAATTCGCCTTAATTACGCACTTGTTTCACAATTGTATTATTATCGATCATCCCAATGTCCCACTTTTTGTTATTTTGAAAATGTGGTATTATTGCGTTCTTGGGCAAGACACTTTGTTTGCTTGGTTTGTTGCTGTGAAGTGATTTAAGTGCTCAAACAGGTGGGAAAACGCAGTGTATCAAAGTGATCATTTAACTTTTGCCTCAATAATCAGAGCAACTTTTTGTTGTTTTCCATCTTTCATTTATTCTTAGTGTGTTTTTCTGTCTTCAGCACAGGGGTGAAAGATACTCACCTAAAATAATTTCTCGAATAACATCTATGTGGCGAGAAATGAGCTGAAATGTACATGTTTAAAGTTCGGAACATGAGTGGACTGTAAAATGAACCACTGAGCCGTGACTGGACGCTCTGTACTCAGGACAGTTACAGCGGGCGTCCCAGACGATTCTAAATTCAGAGTTTGAGCTGCTTCCCTTTGGTCTGCGGCTTTTAGTCCCAAGATCTAGAACGAATCATTTTTAAAGGAGCTTCATTCTCCTTTCTATCGTACTTATGAATAAATTGTAATCTATTTATAAAGCCAATGATGTTCATTATGTCTTCTTATATACTTTAACTTCTTGGGTTCTTTTTAAAGACAATGCAGTAAAGTGTATTTACCTTGTTGACATGTTTCGGCTGCTAGCTGCAAGCCATCTTCAGAACTGTCACCGGTGTTGGTGGTGACGTGTCATATATCAGCTGTTGTTACTTCCTGTACACTGTAAAAGGAACAACCACATTATGGATTGGGACGGGGCTCGGATCATTGGATCGGAAAACAACAAGTTCAAACGCTGGATCAAGGAGGCCATTGAAATCAGAAAGCGAGGCATGGACAGCATTAACCGTGATGACGGAGCGTTCCTCCTTTCACACACCTGGGACACCCTCCTACAGAGACACCACCGGGCGACGGGAGGCGTGGTCAGTCTGAGCCACCTGCCAGGTCCATCAGGTCTGACCACGCCTACAGGAAGTAACAACAGCTGATATACGACACGTCACCACCGACACCAGTGACAGTTCTGAAGATGCAGCAGCCGAAACATGTCAACAAGGTAAATACACTTTACTGCATTGTCTTTAAAAAGAACCTAAGAAGTTAATGTAATCTATTTATCTTTCAGTTTGAGTCTTGGAAAATCATGTTTTTTTATATATTTAATGTTTATTGTGATTTTTAGCCAAGCGTGATGAATGAATGAATGAATCCTGTGTACAGTGTGGATGAATGAAATGTGAAATGTGGGACCAGCTTCTCAAATCTGCAAAACAAATTTACCTACGGGTACGAATAAAGCAACCAAACCCAACTGTATGTAACCGAGGGGTAATTTTAAAAGTACAATTATACAGATAGAATAGGGTGACCTAACGTCCGTTTTTCCCTGGACATGTCCGTTTTTTTTTTAAGTGGTGCAAATGTCCAGGTTTTCATGATCTTTCATTGGGCCATTAAACTGAGCAGCTCTCGTAGTTTTCTGTAACTCAGAAGGAGCGAGACACAAACAGTCGGTCAGTCTGCAACACGCCGAAGCACAAATGCACAGTTAACAATGACTTGGACAAGAAATTCCCCCGTTTTCCATCCCGGTCGGGACAAGTGTGAGTCCATGTGCACAGTTTGCGAGGTGAGAGTAGCTCTGAAAAACACAACGAGAACTCTGAAAAACACACCGCGAGAAAAACATGAGAACTCTGAAAAACACCGCGAGAAAAACATGAGAACTCTAAAAAACACCGCGAGAAAAACATGAGAACTCTAAAAAACACCGCGAGAAAAACATGAGAACTCTGAAAAACAGCATGAGAAAAACATGAGAACTCTAAAAAACACCGCGAGAAAAACATGAGAACTCTGAAAAACACGCATGAGAAAAACATGAGAACTCTAAAAAACACCGCGAGAAAAACATGAGAACTCTAAAAAACACCGAGAAAAGAAAAACACCGCGAGAAAAACATGAGAACTCTGAAAAACACCGCGAGAAAAACATGAGAACTCTCTAAAAAACACGAGAAAAACATGAGAACTCTGAAAAACACCACGAGAAAAACATGAGAACTCTGAAAAACACCACAAGAACTCTAAAAAACACGAGAAAAAGAGAACTCTGAAAAACACGAGAAAAACACGAGAACTCTGAAAAACACCACGAGAAAAACATGAGAACTCTAAAAAACACCACGAGAACTCTGAAAAACACCACGAGAAAAACATGAGAACCTTGAAATACACCACAAGAACTCTAAAAAACACAACGAGAACTCTGAAAAACACCACGAGAAAAACACCACGAGAACTCTGAAAAACACCACGAGAAAAACCCCCACCCCCGGTAAAGTCTCCGGGTTTTCATAAACGGAAATAATGAGTCAACTATATCTATGCGCAATTATTTTTAAGTCTATTTTTAAATTATTTTTAAGCCACTATTTATTACCTGTTTTACTGCTTGTTACCTTTTTCCTGCTGTTCTTGAATTGCGCGTTGCAACACTGGAATTTCCCCACTGTGGGACTAATAAAGGATGCAGTGAGTGATCCAAGAGAGACAAGAGAGTCAAAGGTCAAATCTAGGAATAATTTATTTATAACTACAAGTTTATGAAAAATAGATCATTTATTATTAATATTATTCAAGCTAAAAATACGTTTCACAAAGTGCCTCCGCTCAATTTCATTTCTCTCCAGCGACTAGGTCAGAAATTAAAATACACTAGACGGTTTGCAAGAACCTCGGAAGTTGTAGATCGCACACCGACCAATCAGAGAAGAGCTGTGAAGCCACGACGTCAAACTCGTCGCGTCCGTCTGGGTCCATTTTGTGGAACAGCGCGACAGTAAACAAAGCGTCGAGACGGATGTAGACGAAGACAGACATTCTGTGTTGGCGACGATTCCCGTGATCGAGGATTTAAAGCCGGAACGAAGAGAATGTTTGGTGAATTTTATCAACGGGAAAGACGTCATTGCCCTTCTTCCTATGGGATTTGGAGCATTACAGACTATAATATAATAACTAAAATGTGTAAATACGTAAAGGAAGTGCCAAAAAAATGAATACCACAGCACGCGAGAAGCGACTGAGCAGAAACGAGAGACCTGATCGCCGACCTCCACGCGACGAGCGCCCGCGTCCAACCAAGATCACAAACAAATACCCAATAAATAACCAAAAAGACAAGAAACTGACAAAACTAATTAATATTAACTCAATGTAAGGACAACTTACACCCAAAACAACCAACGTGAAAGACCCAAATAAAAACGCACATGTCCAGTGGCGTCTAAAAAAACTAAACAAAACAAACATTAACGGTCAAAAAGAACTTAAATTACCTAACAAAAAAGTAAAATAGGTGGGTTAAAAATCAGCTGCTCAGTTACAGCGTCTAAAATCATAAAACATCGACCCAATTAACCGGCGAAATAAAAGAGTAAAGTAATTTAGAGGTAAGATATATCCTCCTTTGAAAGATCACAAGGCAGGTTTGATTTATTTACATTTTAATCAGATGTTTTTGCAGCGTTTTTGATCAGTTTTTACTCTGGACTCTATCATTATTCTAATTCTGGCTCAACGATTGCGGTATTTTCCATTCTTTGATGTCTTAAACTCCTGATTCGTTTGTCATAACATTTCCCGTCGTCGTTGGATTTCTCTGTGCGGAGTCCGGGTGAAATGCCTGAGCGGTGAGAGACGTACGTTCGCCGTTTCATTTGTTTTGTGTTTTTGTGTTTCAGGATTTGAACCCGAAGCTCCTAAACTCTGTAACTCCACCTCTCTGCCCACTGACGCCTTAAGGTGAGGTCCTCGACTATTCAGCACCGACAGAAAATACAAGGAACGAGTGCAGAAAAGTGTCAGGCGGAGATTATGGTGTAAGAAAGTTTTCAGAAATATTCATGTTCATAGGAGAGAAATCTGTGCATATTTGTCTGTAGTTGAGCATAAAATAAATATTCGTAAACTCTCGAATGAGTCCAGTCGTACGTAAAATGTGTTGTGTGTATTTTATCCATCAGAAAACGAATTCAAAAGTTACATCATCACTAAACCAGGACTAAACCAGGACTAAACCAGGACTAAACCAGGACTAAACCAGGACTAAACCAGGACTAAACCAGGACTAAACCAGGACTAAACCAGGACTAAACCAGGACTAAACCAGGACTAAACCAGGACTAAACCAGGACTAAACCAGGACTAAACCAGGTAAACCACTAACGGACTAAACCAACAGGACTAAACCAGGACTAAACCAGGAAACTAAACCAGGTCTAAACCAGGACTAAACCAGGACTAAACCAGGAAAAACCAGGTCTAAACCAGGACTAAACCAGGACTAAACCAGGTCTAAACCAGGGGACTAAACCAGGACTAAACCAGGTAAACCAGGTAAACTAAACCAGGACTAAACCAGGACTGAGAGAGGGAGAACCCCAAGCACAACAGAGCAGGATGTCCGCAGTCCTGGTTTAGTTCTGTTTTAGTCTTGTTTTAGTCCTGGTTTAGACCTTGTTTAGACTTGGTTTAGACCTGGATTAGTCCTGTTTTAGTCCTGGTTCAGTCCTGTTTTAGTCCTTTTTAAGTTCTAGTTTAGATCTGGTTCAGTCCTAGTTAAGTCCTGGTTCAGTCCTGGTTTAGTCCTAGTTCAGTCCTGGTTTAATCCTGTTTTAGTCCTAGTTAAGTCCTGGTTTAGTCCTCCTGGTTTAGTCCTGTTTTAGTTCTATTTTAGTCTTGGTTTAGTCCTGTTTTAGTCTTGGTTTAGTCCTGGTTTAGTCTTGGTTTAGTCCTGTTTTAGTCCTGGTTTAGTCTTGGTTCAGTCCTGTTTTAGTCCTGTTTTAGTCTTGGTTTAGTCCTGTTTTAGTCCTGGTTTAGTCCTCATGGTTAGTCTGTTTTAGTCCTGTGTTTTAGTCCTAGTCCTTTAGTCCTTTTTTAGTCTGTTTTAGTCCTGTTTTGTCCTAGTTGTTTTAGTCCTAGTTCAGTCCTGTTTTAGTCCTGTTTTAGTCCTGGTTTAGACCTGGTTTATTCCTAGTTCAACCTGTTTTAATCCAGGTTTAGTCCTTGTTTAGTCCTCCTGGTTCAGTCCTGTTGTAGTCCTCTTTTAGTCCTGTCCTGTTGTAGTCCTCTTTTAGTCCTAGTTCAGTCCTGGTTTAGTCCTGTTTTAGTCCTGTAGTTTAGTCTTAGTCCTGTTGTAGTCCTCTTTTAGTCCTAGTTCAGTCCTGGTTTAGTCCTGTTTTAGTCCAGGTTTAGACCATTTTTAGGCCTCCTGTTTCAGTTATGGGATCAGTCCTGGTTTAGACCTGTTTCAGTCCGTATGCGACGCAAAACTCCGGCATCTCGTTCAACGTTTAATAAATAATTCCTGTGACGTATTTTTGACAGTCGAGTCGCGTCTGAGAAATTAATATTCATACTGAAGAAAGCGTAAACATAAATTTTCATGTCGCGATTGTAATTCTTGACGTCGTAACTTTTCAATTCGTTTTCTGACGGACAAAATACACACAACACATTTTACGTACGACTGGACTCACTCGAGAGTTTACGGATATTTATTTTATGCCGAACTACAGACAAATATGCACAGACTGAAATCTTTCTTACTCCGTACTAGACCCTCAGCTTCACTGTGGACATGCAGACTCAGCATTTAAGGCTTCAGTGGATAATCCCTCTAACACTGTATTAAACGTGAGGCTGTAGGACCACCTCCGACAGCCCTCTAATCTTTTATTTATGTGTTTAATTTTGTGTATAGTTGAAGATTCTGTGTAAATACTGTTATATGAAAGCTGATCAGAACAAACTGTTAACAATTTTATTGAATTAAGTAAATTAACTCAAACTGTTGCTAAAATGAGTGGATATCTTAAGTTTTTGGTGATGACATGCATGAAATTGTGAAATAATTGTCCTATGCATGAAGTTTTGTGTGTTTGTGATACTTTCAGAACAGCTAAAACAGATTTAATTGACGCAAATTACACGCAGCTCTCAAAAATCTAGATGGAAAATGGTATAAATTGAGTAATAATTTCATAAACAGGATTGCAAAAGGTTAAATTAACAAGATATTCTAGAATATGTTCATAAATGGTTCAAAATAATTTACGCAGAGCAAAGTAATTGTGCAGAAAATAACAAACTGAACTAGAAAACCACAAAAACTACGAGCGTCTCAATACGAACGAGTCACGTGGGCCCGAAAACAGAATCGAGAATTGACAAATTATAACAGGAGACACAAAAAAATCTGTAAACGAGGGCCTCAAAACACACAAAAGTCAGACATAAGTGACTAACAAAACACCCAAGAGACACAAAACGGCAGAGTGGTCAGTTTACGCTCTGTTCACGCTTACGTCACAAACCAGGAAGACGTTTGGAAACACGCGATGACGACTTCAGGTGTTGTTCCCGACACTGGACTCGCCGACCGACTGTGATCAAACCCACTGAAGTAAAAGTGATCAGCGGTAAAATAAAGACTGCAGACGTATGTGGTGTTTGGAATCATCCGGAATTTGGTGCCTCGTCTCTTCTAATCGCAATGATGAAAACTGAGGTGTGGTTGTACTGTATTTTTCGGACTGTAAGGCGCCCTGGATTATAAGGCGCATTAAGAGAAACAAAGGGACGACACTTGAGACTAGGGATGGGCATGACTAATGATTAGTCGACTAATTGATAATTGATCATTAAGAATTTCGTCGATTACATTTGTTTCTTATCGACAAACCGAATGTAGGCTTTTGGGTGTAGATATGAAGCTGCGTCTGTGTTAGGTTTATCTAAACATTAAAAACAAGGAGAAAGACAAGAGATTAATTCAGTTTTACTCATGAGGAGAACGGGCAGAGAGTGGGCATCAAAACCAACAGTCTCCACACGTTCTGATGCCTCAAGGCCGTTCTCCTCTTTTTATTTCATTAGGAGGCCCTAGTTACAGAATGATAATTCTCAAGGGGAAGGGGAAACCAGCAAAGACATAATAAGAAATTGATGCAGCTATGCATAGTACAAACACATAAAACATGATTAACAATCAGGAGGTGCCTTAGGTCAGACACCATCATAACTCTTGCATGTGTGACAGTGGGAGTTGGCTTCATGTGAGGAATCATCTCGAGGTTCACAAGAGCGACAGGACACTGCACACAGTTGTCAAACACACAGAGGTTATTCATTGTCATTCAAGTGATTGGTACATTACAAATCAAAGAATTGTAGTACATAAATGGTTAACTCATAGGCATAGAATATCACACAAGTATTTAGCAAATATGGGATAATAAAATTATTCTGACAGTTAATTATTCTGAAACTCTGGAGTTGCGGCCTCAGTCCCAAGTTTGGGCTCTGGCACTTCCTTGGAGACACTGTACGACTCAGTGAGTGTGTTTACAGCACATCGATGTCCCGGTTTCGTCATGGTGCATGTAAAAGCTGTAGCCCGGTTACTGCAACATAAAGAACTGCGCTAAACCTGCACACGTACGATCTTTGAAAACATCGCGACACACAGAACAGACTCACCTTCAGCATCAACATCCCTCTGTCACAGAAAGAACATCTATATCCACTGACTAAACCAGGACTAAAACAGGACTAAACCAGGACTAAACCAGGACTAAAACAGGACTAAACCAAGGACTAAAAGGAGGACTAAACCAGGACTTAAACCAGGACTAAACCAGGGACTAAACCAGGACTAAACCAAGACTAAAATAGGACTAAAAGAGGACTAAACCAGGACTAAACCAGGACTAAACCAGGACTAAACTAAAACCAGGTCTAAACAGGACTAAACCAGGACTAAACCAGGACTAAACCAAAAGGACTAAAAGGAGGACTAAACCAGGACTAAAAACCAGGACTAAACCAGGACTAAACCAGGTCTAAACCAGGACTAAACCAAGACTAAAATAGGACTAAAAGAGGACTAAACCAGGACTTAACTAGGACTAAAACAGGACTAAACCAGGTCTAAACTAGGACTAAACCAGGACTAAACCAGGACTAAACCAGTCTAAACCAGGACTAAACCAGGACTAAACCAGGACTAAACCAGGACTAAACCAGGACTAAACCAGGTCTAAACCAGGACTAAACCAGGACTAATTTTGGACTTAAGAGAGAGAGAGGGAGAACCCCAAGCACACAGAGCAGGATGTCCGCAGTCCTGGTTTAGTTCTGTTTTAGTCTTGTTTTAGTCCTGGTTTAGACCTTGTTTAGACTTGGTTTAGACCTGGTTTAGTCCTGTTTTAGTCCTGGTTCAGTCCTGTTTTAGTCCTGTTTAAGTTCTAGTTTAGATCTGGTTTAGATCTGGTTCAGTCCTAGTTAAGTCCTGGTTTAGTCCTAGTTCAGTCCTGGTTTAATCCTGTTTTAGTCCTAGTTAAGTCCTGGTTTAGTCCTATTTTAGTCTTGGTTTAGTCCTGTTTTAGTCCTGGTTTAGTCTTGGTTTAGTCCTGGTTTAGTCCTGTTTTAGTCCTGGTTTAGTCCTGTTTCAGTCCTATTTTAGTCTTGGTTTAGTCCTGTTTTAGTCCTGGTTTAGTCTTGGTTTAGTCCTGTTTAGTCCTGTTTTAGTCCTGGTTTAGTCCTATTTTAGTCAGTCCTATTTTAGTCTTGGTTTAGTCCTCCTGTTTTAGTGGTGTTTTAGTCCTAGTTCAGTCCTGTTTTAGTCCTGGTTTAGACCTGTTTTAGGCCTATTCAGCATCAACATCCCTCTGTCACAGAAAGAACATCTATATCCACTGAGTCGTGTCGTTTAGTCCAACAGAAACTGAACCGCATCAGTGCACAAGAGCGTTTTTTTTTTTTTTCTTATCTTAGTTTATGCAAATTAGCGATGCGGTTTTAAGTTTCGTTTCTATTTGCGCAAAGCTGAATTAAACACATTATAATGTCAAACGGGCTGATGTGGCTCTAGAGTGTTTATGGTTTATATGTCGTAAAGTTGAGTTTATTTATGCAGATTAGTCATAGTAATAATAATGATGATACTTATTGTATAAAAATGTTAACGATTAATCGAAAATCGTTTGTTAATTCTCCTGATGATTGATTAATAAAATTTCATCGAATGCCCATCCCTACTTGAGATTGATCCTTAGTCCAGGCGTCCACGATCCATCGGCAGATCGTGGCGTAATTCGCTCAGCGTTTCCTCCCCGTCTTGGTGAATGTGGATTATGAATGTGAATGTGGGTGGATCATTTAAGTTTGCATTTTTATTTCCTACGAGGACGACTCAAATATACACAGAGTACCGCATTTTCCGGGCTGTTAGACGCGCTCTTAAGCCTCTAACCGCATCAAAAAACAACTGTGCGAACCGCAATCCAGAGCGCCCCATACACGAATCCACTTGAGTGTCTCAGCACGACTTCAGTAAACTACAAAGTCGCAAACACACACGGAGCAGACAGCGACCGCACAGCGAAAAACACCCACAGACACACTCGTCACTCCACGCCGACGAGGAACGGAACGGAGGAACGAACCGAAAAAGCGACGAGCGCAACGTGCCGCTTCTAGACACGACTGAACAACTGAGTCACCGCGAACACGCCGACAATCCGTTGGTCCCAGACAGCACCTCCCTACACGCCACAACTGAACAAAGCCCAGAGTCACCGTGTGAACGAACAAACAAACAAAACCACTCACCCATCACACTGTTGTGTTTCATTTAAAGTCCAGTGCGGTTTATTTGTGAAAAAAGTTCAAAAATAGACCATTTAATGCCTTATAATTCAGAGCACCTAATAGCCCAGAAAATACGGTAATAATGTGTTTAATACCGACTCCACGAGGCTCCTGACTCTGGTCACCGTAATGCTCCAACAATCCATCAAGCGGTGCAGGCTTCGTAGTTTGTCAAAGTCGTACTAAAATATTTTGACAGATTTTTGAGCGTCATGTACCACATAAAATCAGTTCGAGGTCAGTAAACACAACCAGAATTAATACCAAAGGCGTACTGTTGATTTTCGAGAAGATTAAAGGATTTTAAGTGCACCTTATAGTCCAAAAAATATGGTAATTGTTGATTAGCTGAATATAACGGAACGCTACAATGACACGGCGATGAAGAAAACTGGGCCTGGGAAGTTGTCATCGCATCTTTCCAAACGTGTTCCTGGTTTGTGACGTAAGCGTGAATAGATCCTACTGAAACTCACACAAAACAAGTGAGAGAACTGGAGGCCTGGGCCCGTAACAACAATAAACTCAATAAATAAGATGTAATCCTTCACAAGAGGATTGGAAACTCCGCTTGTTCTAGTAGAAGCATTGAAGCGTTATCAGAGCAGTTACATTGAACATTTCCTGCTGAAACTAAGCAGCTCTCACCGACCCAGACTGAAAGTGGATTTGGGCTTCACCTCGTTCAGCTCCTTAAGTCCAGACACGCTTCATAGAAATACAAACACGTTCACCGGGACAGAGCCGCTGAATAACGCTGAATAATAATGAAACTGTGTGTGCAGTTTTCAGAGCGACCTCTCCCTCAGCGAACAGGCCGCGCTGGTCAAGAGTGTGTCCGACCCAGATGCCAAACTCTTCTACGTCCTTCCCAAAGGTGAGACTTGTACATTCAGTTTTCTATAGAACTCAGGGAGATGACGTCATACCGCTCGTCACGCACTAGGTGTCGCCATTTTGGCAGTAATCGGCAGATCGTCTGACTCGCGCTGTACGACTCCAGCGCAGTAACAGATTGTTGTCCAGACGCAGCCGCGATTCATTTCCAGATTATTTTGTCCACAACGGCCAATACAGAGAATGTAACACACGAAGATCAGAGCAAGAACCAATGTGTGAACGTGTCGCTGTGTGAGTGAGTCAAAATTGGGGATGTGTACGTCTGTTCATGACCTGCACAGAGACGACCCGGTGTTCCCCGAGTTCACAGAGCAACAGCATTTGTTATTTTAGCCTTTAATTTACCAATAATTTTATGACAGTAGGCAATAGTCTATTTGATTGATTCAACTTTAAAAATGTCCTGCTTTTAGCCTAGTGTGAGAAATACAGTCGGATTAGAGCCAAACCAGAGTCCTGACCCAGCGGGAGCAGCTCCGGTTCAGTCCAGGCTCAGAGGAGCTGGAGCGGGGAGTGAGTGTTAGGAGCCTCGGCCTGAGAAGAACTTTCCCCGGGAAGAACCAAATGCGCGGAGCACGGACGCTCAGAACAAGATATAACCAACCAAACTGCACTCACGCTTCTGTCCGGATGCTGCACCACCTCAGAACCAGCCGCGGTTCTTGAGCGCGGAGGACCGGAGCAGCCCGTCCGGACCTGTAGTTCACAGAGCATTCTCACTTTTCCCGCACGGAACCAAAACGCAGACGATGATACGGAACCGCTCGGACCCAGACCATCCAGTACTGGTCTTACTCGCCCCCGTCTGTAACCAGCACATGGAGGACGGAACCTCTGGACCATCTGACCAACGCGCTCGGAGAACCAGACCCCAGCCCCGTCCTGAGGGTCTGAGCTGCGGTGAGTTCCTCTTTACCGCTGTTGGCTGCTGCTGTTGTTTCCCGAGCTTCTGCTGCTGAGTTCATGACGACACTTGAGATGAGGACGGCCCGTGGTCTTAACAGGAACATCGGTGTTGATAGTTGGAGGTATCGCTGTTCTACCGGGAAACAGAGGCACGTCAGTCGGACCAGTTTTGGTTCGTTTGGCGGTGTCCTGCAGATCTGGGACGTCTTCTTCAGCGGAAATATTTTTAAAAAGCACCCCGGGGGCATTATACGGGTCGTAATGTGTAATCGATTTAATTTTTTGATATAAAGCTCAATGTCTTGTGAATTAAAGTGAGCTGAAGTGGCTTGAAAGCTTCGGCGGTGGTGCTATCCATTTTTACTGCCAAAATTACGGCCCGCCCACCGTGAGTCCGACGCTCTATAGGTCGTGTTTACATCCTAGAATACGATCATGTCCAAATTTCAGTTTTTCTTTATAACTCTATGGGAGCTTTACTGTTTTTGAAAGAAATCTCCAAACTCACGATCCACAAATGTTCTCATTATTTGTTTGGGATTTGTCTCGGCTCCACAGTCTTGTCACTTTAATCTCGCGTCTTAAGGTTCTTTTAAACTGACGACAATCACGTCTTTGGGGTTGAAAAACGGCACCGCTTTCTGGAGGTATTAATGTCACTTCTGTTTACACCGACAGATTTCCGAATAACCAAACCAGTGTGCTGTTTACGCATACCTTGTTGTTCACGTCCTTCAAATGCTCTCTGCTTCCTTTAAAGATGATGATGTGATGGTCTGAACCGTTGACTCACAGCAGAGAAATTGTGAACTTTGCCAGGTTTTGTTTCATGTGGACAGGCCCAGTAATGACAGAGATAAACCAAAAACCAGGTCAACAAATCTGAAATCCGACAGTCACCGTAGAATTCTGACCTGTCTCCAGCTCAGGTTAAACTCCAGCGATTCTAGAAAGTTTTTTTTGTATAATTTTCACTTATTTTTGGGGTGTAATTATTAACCTCCCAATGGGCTTGCAGTTGTGAAAGTGTGTTTTTAATTGTTTCTGTAAATTCTTTCAGTTTCAGAGCTAAAGAAACACTTTGAAGGTCCTCTGACAAACGACACGGACATGAACAGGTACGTCGCTGGATGTTTTAGCTTCAAATAAACATATCCACAACGGCCGTAAGTTCCCTGCTGTAGGTTTGCGGAACTTCAGGTTAAGGGTTTTCTGCGGCAAAATATCTGTGTAGATGTGTGTCGTGTTCTCCGGCGGCTTCATAAATCTGCCCCATCACCAAATCTTCAAGCTCCACAAAGGATAAACATTCTAACATGAAGAATTTGTCCACAACTATCAAGAGAAGAAAGACGAAAACTTAAAGGCGAACAACAACGACGACTAGGGGAGCGTTTTGTTTTATTTTTTCTTTCCAAAATTAGGCCCTATTTTCCCACATTTCCTTTATCATCAATTTGCATCAGAATTTATCCCCATTTCTCCCAATTTGGTCGACAGTTACACCCGACCTATTCTCCAACATGACGACAGATGTGATGTAGAGGTCACGGTGCGAAGGATCCTAGGTGTAAATGACTCTGAATCATCCCTTTAAATGAGGTGTGAAAATAAAAATGACTTGAATTAGAGTTACATTCTGAGAAAAAGCTTAAAAATAAGAAAAAGCTTAGAAATGAAGGAACATAGGGCTGAACCCAGGACGAGTATTAGTGAACTACTGAGCAAAACTAACATTGTGATCATCAGTGGAGAATCCCTCAGTCGTTCAGGTAGAATCCAGGGCGAGGAGAAAATTCAGTTTGTCGACGTTTCGCAGCTCATCCAAGCTCCTTCTTCACTTCAAAACTGAATTTTCTCCTCGCCATTGTGATCATCAATAAAACTTAAGTAATTTGTTCACTCAGACTGATTATGTCAGTATTAGTATAGATCAGGGGTGTCAAACTCATTTTGGTCCGGGGGCCGAATCCAACCGACTTTGATCCCAAAGGGGCCGGATCAGAAAACTCATGTCATATAAACCCCAAAAATAACAACAACTTCAAATATTTGTGCAGAGAAACACAAATCTATTACAGAAATCTTTTTTAATTGATGAACTCCTTCTTTTACAAAATATTATAATATTATGAACAACCTGAAACTTTAAGAAAAATGCAATTTCAACACAATGTTTTAATATTAACTTGTATGTAAATAGGAATAAGTCGGCTCCACTTTTCTCATGTTGGACATTTTTCTGATGAGGGTGTCACGGTCAACAGTCAAAACGATCGTCCTTTAAGAGCGTTTGGAAAGAGACAAGTCTTCATTTGTGCTGCTCTGGTGGGAGGGGCCACGTACAGAGACGCTGGAGACGCTGCTGTGATAAACACCACAGAAAATTAACAATATTTTAATAAAAAAATAGAATTAAAATATTTTAGTAGAAAATCAGCTGAGGGCCAGATTAAAGGTCTTGGAGGGCCAGATCTGGCCCCCGGGCCGTAGGTTTGACACCTGTGGTATAGATAGAGAGATTTGTTTAGTTCAAATGCCAGAGATGTTCACAGATTAACAGTTACATCTGTGGCATTTTAACTAAACAAATCTATAAAAAATCAAGTTTTAATTTTAATTGTAGAATCAGACCCCGTTTACGTGTACACAGGTATTTTTAAAAAGTGAGACATTTCCTGGAGTTTGTGCCCATCTTTTATTTATTAATTTATTTATTTACTGTATTTGAGACAGGGACAGCGCACAGTTTTGACATGAACCTTAATAGTAGAGAGATGTTTTGTATATCAGGTTGTATCATCAGGGCTCATTTCCACCTGTCGTCCCTGGGCAGGTTCATTGATTAATTGTATTTAAAGGTTGTAAAGAGGATTTTTTTAAGGGAAAAGAAATACAGCGACAGTCCTTTTTCAAATGTTGTGCATGCGTCACACCGCCTCCCTCCTCCACAGCCTCAGTAGAAACACCTCCTCCCGCCTCCTTACTCTAGAAATCACGCTTGTTTACAGCTGGTGCACGTTCAGAATTACTGTTGAAGTGACCTGTCTAGAAATATTTTAGCGACCGATGTGTCAGATTTTAGACCTTTCGTCTGCTTCAGTCGCGCAATCGCTGGAAGGAATCTCCAAGAATCACCTCAGTTTGTCTTCGCTCCTTTTCTCCTTCTCTTCTTCTTTCAGCGACCTCAAAAAAACTGGACTTTCTTTGGCGGTGAACCGGTCGTGGATTCTCGTCCTCCGTCGCAACAAAATTTGTGCGAATTGCGAGGTTTGAAAAAGCCTCTAAGAACGGCTGCATAAACCACGTAATCCCAGCGACGAGTCAGTTACACTAGAAATGTAGGAGTTTGATTGGCAACCTAACAGCCAATAGAAAATGAGGGAGCCTTGTTTTCTATTGGCTGATGTTTATCTGGTCTCACTACGTCCACAGTTGATAGATTTTCATTCTTTTTTTTTTTTTTAGTCATCATAATTACAAAGCTGCTGCGTCTCTGTAATGGTATTTTAAACTTTCATTGACAATTTGAAACAAAAAAAAAAATCCTCCATACAACCTTTAACTGACCTTGACTATCTGCGATACGATACGATATGTAGCGTGTTTTGGGTTGATGGGGGTTTACACGCAAACAGTGAATTTGCCTCTGAAAATGAATCTTTTTAAAAAAAACTCCGGCTAGAGTGGAGATTCAGGAAAACCACGGTGATTTATGACGGCGCTCGATGGGGGATTTATGCGGGTTGATGTAAACTAAAACTTTTTTAAAAACAATGCTACGTGTACGATGTTATTTTGGAAAACAAGGTAGGGAAATATTAGTTTCTCAACAAACCCGGCTTTGTGTAAACGTAGCTTCAGTCTGAGTCTGAGTGCGCTGAGATTCCGTGCCCGGAAAAGAAGTGAGGAGGAGGGGGAAAGAGCGGATTGGGGCAGCGGGAGAGGAGCAGGAGAGGGGAGCAGAGAAGGTTGCGCGGAGATTCAGTGCGAATGAACTAGCTACAACACGCAGCAGCAAGCGGACTCTTTCTTTGCACTGAAAATTACGTTTTCAGACATAGGATATCGCTTTCGTGTCCTGAAAAACGTTTGTCTAGCTCTTGGAAATAAAGTACGTTTTCATAATAAGCAGAAGTGACCTGTCCAGGAGTAATTTGTGGACCAGTGCGTCAGTCTTTAGACCCTTCGTCTGCTTCAGTCGCACCATCGCTGGAATGAATCTCCAAGAATCACCTTAGTTTGGCTTCGCTGCTTTTCCCCTTGTCTTCTTCTTTCAGCGACCTCAAAAACGGACTTTCTTTTGCGGTGAACTGCTCCTGGATTCAACAAACTTTGTGCGAACTGCGAGGAAGATATAGGTCAAAAAAAGCCGCTAAGAACTGTTGCGTTGGTGGAGTAAACAGCGTCTGTGCGTCTTGCGTCTGTGGACTGCGTGACAGACGTACGTAAACCACGTAACGGCGGCGCGCAGGCAAGTCAGTTACACTAGAAACGTAGGGAGTTTGATTGACAGCCTGTCAGCTCACAGATAATGAGGCAGTGTCGTTATCTATTGGCAAATGTTTAGCCCCACCACGTCCAGAGTTGATGAATTTTTATTCTCTTTTTTTTGGTCATCATAATTACAAGGCTACTGCATCTCTATAATCTATCATTGACAATTTGAAACCAAAAAAAATCCTCCATACAACCTTTAAAGGAAACCCAACAGTGTGATGGGTGAGTGGTTTTGTTTGTTTGTTCGTTCACGGTGACTCTGGGCTTTGTTCAGTTGTGGCGTGTAGGGAGGGTGTGTCTGGGACCAACGGATTGTCGGCGTGTTCGCAGTGACTCAGTTGTTCAGTCGTGTCTAGAAGCGGCACGTTGCGCTCGCTTTTTCGGTTCGTTCCTCCGTTCCGTTCCTCGTCGGCGTGGAGTGATGAGTGTGTCTGCGAGTGTGTTTCGCTGTGCGGTCGCCGTCTGCTCCGTGTGTGTTTGCGTGTTCTGCGGGTGGTGCGGCTTTGTAGTTTACTGAAGTCGCGCTGGGACACCCGAGTGGATTCGTGTATGGGGCGCTCTGGATTGTGGCACGCGGTCGTTTTTTGATGGGGTTAGAGGCTTAAGAGCGCGTCTAATAGAACGGAAAATACGGTATGTTTTATTCATGACCATAGTGTTAGTTCTGTTCAGTTTCACTAATGCGTCGTCGTTGTTCGTCTTTAAGTTTTCGTCTTTCTTCTCTTGATAGTTGTCGATAAATTCTTCATGTTAGAATGTTTATCCTTTTGTGGAGCTTGTTGGTTGAAGTTTTGGTGATGGGGCAGATTTATGAAGCTGCTGGAGAATACGCCAAAACATTTACACTGATATATCGCAGCAGAAAACCATTAACCGGAAGTTCTGCAAACCTACAGCGCGACACTTCCGGCTGTTGCGAAAAAGGTTTATTGGCTGTGGCATTAGCAGTAGTTGAATCACCGTTTGTGGTCGATCAGGAAGGAGAGAATCGCCCGTCGTCTGGAGGGGATGGAGTCTGACGTTCCCCCGGCGTTGGTGCTCCCCGCTGGGCTTGTGTCCAACCGGATGCTGGAGGAGGATCCGCCCCGATACACCAGAGCCTCAGACCCCTGTGAGCCCTGTGTCATGGGTGAGAGTGAACATGTGCTCAGTGTTCAATCTTTACCAGTGTACTGTACAATACCTCAAAGTTAAAAAAAAAAGCAGATTTATCCAAAACAAATGATTTGTCCCAGTTTTATACAAGAAATGTCTCAAGTGTCCCTATTTTTGACCTGTTTGACCCGTGCCAACAGTAAAGAGAGGCATAAATAGTCACTTGTTAAATAAAATACAGAAAACCTGCTTAAAAACGACTTTTTTCACAATTTTATTATTACAAACCTCTCCCCGTTTTTTATTTTGAAAATCTGGTCACCCTAGATATAAGACAACATGGGAATATTAAACAAAGTGCTACAATTTAAACAAAATTCATGAAATTCAAGTTACAAAAACACTAACATCTGTAACTTGTATTTTAAGCGTTAACACACTTGAAATATAAGTTACTTCTACTTCTACTTCCATTGTATAAACTTGTCTGATTTTTGATATTCACTGATCAATGATCGGTTATTGATTGATAATTGATAATGATTGGTTTAATCCTGGTTTAGACCTGATGTAGTCCTGGTTTAATCTTCGTTTAGTCCTGGTTTAGACCTGATCTAGTCCTGGTTTAGACCTGACATTGTCCTGGTTTAATCTTCGTTTAGTCCTGGTTTAGACCTGATGTAGTCCTGGTTTAATCTTCGTTTAGTCCTGGTTTAGACCTGATGTAGTCCTGGTTTAATCTTCGTTTAGTCCTGGTTTAGACCCTGAATCTTCGTGTAGTCCTGGTTTAGATCCTTTTAGTCCTGGTTTAGTTGTAGTCCTGGTTTAATCCTGGTTTTAGTAGTCCTGGTTTAAATGGTCAGTTTAACCTGGTGGGACATTTTCCTTGTAGTCCTGGTTTAATCTTAACTGGGACAAAATCCTGGTTTAGTGGTTTTTTGTGTTTAAATCTGGTCTGGGAGACAGTGGACACAGGGCTCAAAATCTGGACTGTCCCGGGTAAATGGGGACATCTGGTCACCCTAGTATCGAAATCGAGCACGAAATTCGAGTAAAACACTAACATCTGTAACTTGTATTTTAAGCATTAACACCCATGGCTTTTTTACTTCTTCTTCTTCTCATATTTTTATCTTTTCTTGTGTTTCCTCTTCCTAACTTCTTGTGTCTGTTCCAGTGCGGCGCTACAGTCGTGACGAGGTCAGTGACCCTCGTTCACAGAAGCAGGGCCCCTCCTCAGACAGAGCCCCCCACAGTAAAGCCCCTCCGGTCGGATCGCGGCCCGAGCCCATGATGGTGTACGTGGACCCGGTCACCGTCACCTCCTCCGCCCCCTCGTCCTCCGGGGGGCGCTCCGGAGACCCCGGCCTCACCTCCAAGGCTGAGAGGATCGCTCGGTACAAAGCCGAGCGGCGCAGGCAGCTCTCAGAGAGGTACGGGATTCTGCTGGATCAGGAGGCGGACATGGACTACACGCCGCGATACCGGAGGAGAGAGACCACAGAGCAGGTGAGGGCTTTGACCTCTGAAAGACACGAGTTGGAACTTATTTTATCCATTTCATAAAGGCCCTTCAAACTCATACACTTTAAAAATCCTAGATTCATAAAAATATAGTATAGTTACCGTATTTTCCAGACTATAAGGCACTCCGAAGTATAAGTCGCACCAGCCAGAAAACACGTAATGAAGAAGAAAAAAACATATATAAGTCGCTCTTTTTGGGGAAAATTTACCTTATAAAATCAGAGACCAGGAGCAGACATTTCCTGTGTAAAGCCAAGTTGTAGTAAAAACAATAGAAGAGAGAACAACAGACTGTTAACGTCACATATGAACAGTTCTTCAGATAAACTATAACATAAACAACAGAACAAGTTTAACAAACTCTCCATCTCACTCCAAATTACTAAATCCATTCAATTCTTCATCCTCGGTGTCACTTCTGAACAACTCGGCCTCGACCTCCGGAGGTAAACGTCGCGCCGCTTCCTCTTCTGTGTCGCTGTCATCAGACTCAGCATCAGTTCCAGTTAGAATTATTCGGGTCTTTCTGAATCCCGACAGGATGGTTTCGGTTTCACTGAAGTCCAGACTTTGTCCATCCATCCAGTGACTTCAGGAAAGTTTCATGGTGCATCCTCCCGGTGTCACAAGTTTCTCTCTCACTCCAGACTTTCTTTCTGCTGCTCAATTTTCATTTTCAGCTGCAGATTTCACGATTTACAGTTTGTAATCTGCAAAATCTGATTTTGTTTTTGGGGGCATTTGTGTTCAATCTTCTCAGTCTTTGTCTTTATAAGTTTGTTTAAATGTTAAATTGTTCAGTGGTGCAGAAGTAAAGGTGCGATCGACTGACATGATACAGACAGGACAGAGGCTCTTTCTGCAGGAGACATGTGCAGTAGAGCCAAGTGACAGTGGTACAGGAAGAACAGGAGCAGCAGATACTCACACACAAGACTAGAACCTCTCACCACTTCACTCAAACATTTTAATATAGAATTCACACCGGAAACACCCAAACCATGAAAAAAAGTGTGACTTATAATCCGGAAAATATGGTATAAACTATTTTGGGGCAAAGGTTTGTTTGTTTTTAGGACATTGTGGGTTTAGATAGAAAATTACAGAGAAATTTGTAGTTTTTAATTATTGTTATTTAGTTTTTTTTTTTTTTTTTTTGGTGTTTTCTCAGGCTGCACCGTCCAGAAGAGAGAGGACAGAGGTGGAGGAACCGAGCGTCCCATATCGCTCCGGAGTGGGCCGAGTTTACATGAGGAACCAGCCGGACGCCCACACTGCCCCCACGACCGCCCCACCACACACAACCGCCCCACCACACACAACCACCCCACCACACACGACCGGCCCACCACACACAACCGCCCCGCAACACACAACCGCCCCCTCCCAGCACCACACACCCGCACACGCCCACTCACACGCCACAGCCGCCCCAAACCAGGAGCGGGGCAGCCGGTTCTCAGAGCGCGAGAGAGCCATGAACCAAGAGAACTACCGCAGAGGTGAGATTTTACATATTTTTTTTTAGCTCTTAAACATGTTACAATACTGTTTCCTCGTTTAGTTTCATTCACGATGGTTTCCGTAATCTTCTGTAAAAAACTCCTTGGCCTCTGAGCCTCGCCAAACACTCAGTTATAATATTCCCAGGATTGTGACGTCATAGATAAAAGACACGTGCAGTTTTTAGGTCCTTAAATCATTACCAGACGTGTTTTATGCAATTCTGGTTGGATTCTATCTGAAATGTCTCTCCTCACTCTTCAAGCCCATTTTACGCTGTACTTAATCTGTGAGTGAAATAAATAAATAAATAAATAGTTGCACAAAATATTGGTCCATAGTAAATATAATGTTACAATCGGTTTGTAATGGAACGTACCTCAGTTTTGACCACCATTTGCTTGTTGTTTATTTGCGTGTTTATTAAACCAATAAAATTAGTTTTAACTAAAATAAAATAAATGCAAAGTGCTGCTTTGTAATACTAATAAATTAAATAAAATATTCTCAAATAAGCAATAAATGTATGAAATATTATTTAAAAAAATAAATTCCTTGTAAACAGTAAACAAAACTTTTCAAAAAGTGAAGTGCAGCACTAACAGTTCCAGCATGAACTTTTACTCAGATTCTTCAGATTTTTGCCAGAAAAAAAACAACTTGTCCATATTATCTGCTGCAGTTACAACGTCTCCAGTGGCTGAAAATACACTTTCACTGGGGTCAGAGGTCGCGGGGTATTGGGGACGGGGTTTCTGTGCCGGTGAAAGGCGAGAGTGAGGACTGGGGCGCGACAACCGTAGTTTTGCGAGGTCGTTCGGAGGGACGTAGTCAAGGCGGGGGCCAGTCTAACTATAAAGCGCTGCAGGAAACACTGCCCCAATCACGGATGAGTTTCCTTGTGAATATTAAAGAGCCGAGCCTTTGTGTAGCTGCACATGTTGTGGTGGAATGTAAACACACACAAATTGCATGAACTCACTCATGCACAGCCCTGTAATGAACTGAATGTCCCTTACCAAAAGGTTTGACACGAATACCATATTTTCCAGGCTATTAGACGTGTTCTTAAGCCTCTAACCCACGGGTGTCAAACTCATTTTGGTCCGGGGGCCGTATCCAACCTACTTTGATCCCAAAGGGGCCGGATCAGAAAACTCATGTCATATAAACCCCAAAAATAACAATAAGTTCAAATATTTGTGCAGAGAAACACAAATCTATTACAAAAATCTTTTTTAATTGATGAACTCTTTCTTTTACAAAATATTATAATATTATGAACAACCTGAAACTTTAAGAAAAATTCAATTTCAACACAATGTTTTAACAATAACTTGTATGTAAATAGGAATAAGTCAGTTTTTGTGGTAAAATCCTGCACTTGGCTCCACTTTTCTCATGTTGGACATTTTTCTGATGAGGGTGTCACGGTCAACAGTCAAAACGATCGTCCTTTAAGAGCGTTTGAAAAGAGACAAGTCTTCATTTGTGCTGCTCTGGTGGGAGGGGCCACGTACAGAGACGCTGGAGACGCTGCTGTGATAAACACCACAGAAAATTAACAAGATTTTAATAGAAAATATAATGAAAATATTTTAGTAGAAAATCAGCCGAGGGCCACATTAAAGGTCTTGGAGGACCTGATCTGGCCCCCGGGCCTTATGTTTGACACTCCTGCACTAATCCCATCAAAAAACAACTGCGCGCCCACAATCCACAGCACCCGATACACGAATCCACTCGGGTGTCCCAGCACGACTTCAGTAAACTACAAAGCCGCAAACACACTCGGAGCAGACACAGACACACTCATCACTCCACGCCGACGAGGAACGGAACGGAGGAACGAACCGAAAAAAGCGAGCGCAATGTGCCGCTTCTAGACACGACTGAACAACTGAGTCACTGCGAACACGCCGACAATCCGTTGGTCCCAGACAGCACCCTCCCTACACGCCACAACTGAACAAAGCCCAGAGTCACCGTGAACGAACAAACAAACAAAACCACTCACCCATCACACTGTTGGGTTTCATTTAAAGTCCCACACGGTTTATTTGTGAAAAAAGTTTGAAAAATAGACCATTTAATGACAGTGCGTCTTATAATCCAGAGCGACTAATAGTGCGGAAAATACGGTACATGAACCATTACACCTCTATGCAGTTTTCTCTCTCATCAGGATAATATATCTGTTACTTCTCCAGGTGGGACACAGGACCGCACCGCTGTCGCCCCCAGGAGCAGGACCCAGGAAGTGCACCCCACTCACCACCAGGAGGCGCCACACAAAGAGATGACCCCTGCTGCTGCTCCTTCTTCTTCTTCGGGTCGGGATTACAGTATGGCCGCCGTGCCCAGCTCGCCGCGCACTGCCCGGCGAGCGTCACTGCCCTCGGCGCGGTACGGCATTTCCCCTGGAGACCTGTTTATAGAGCAGCAGGCTCAGAGCATTCTCAACAGGCAGGGGTAAGACATAGTTTAGTAAATATATATATGACAGATAAAGAGAGGGATGTGACGAGATGTTGTGTCACTAGATCTGACAATGATCTTGTGAGATTGAAGTGTTTACATTAGTCTAAGTTCAGACTGCAGCCTGAAGTGACCAAATCAAAGTTTTTGGCCCCTATTCTCCTGTATCTGATCTTTTAATGACAGACTGAACCACACAGATCCGATTTTTATGTTTTTGCCGGCGTTTGTTTGTTTGTTTGTTTGTCTGTTTTTGTTTGTTTGTCTGTTTGTTTGTTTTGTCTGTTAGCAACATAACTCAAAAAAGTTATTTTACCGATTTTGATGAAATTTTCAGGATTTGTTGGAAATGTGAAAAGGAAGAACTGATTTCATTTTGGGGGTGATCCGGAAGAAATCCTGGATTCTGGATCACTTTGAAATTTTAGTTAACATTGTGGTAAATGGGGCCAAAAATTTTGTTTCTCAATATCTCAGTTAATTATTGACCAAACCCCATGAAATTTGACTCAGGGATGGACAATGGGATCCTCTTTCATATTCCAAATTGAAAGATACGAGACAAATATTTATGGAAAACACAATTAATATGAGGGGGACTGTAGTCCTTGGCGGAGGTCTGCGCTCTCTGAGTGCTTTTCTAGTTTTCAGATGTGACCCAGGTCACTTGGATATGTGCTCCTAAAACCGATACATATCTGATCTTTTGACATGTGACTTCAGTCTGAACGGTCAGGTCACATTCATCCCACCTACACGTCAGGCTCAGAGTCTCGTCAGTGGAGGGAAAATGAGGTTAATGAGTTTATTCATATTTGGGGGGATCTCTGTATTGTATTCAGGACAAATTGGAGGGGTTTTATTGGAACCAGGCGGTTTCTGAAATGATTGCCAAAGAAAAGCTGGAGCACGGCTACAGGTGGTCCAGGCTCCAATGTCAACGAAAAACAAAGAGCCTGAAACACAAACACAAGGAGGATAAAGGCTCAAACAGCAAATGGCACAAGCGGCCGTGGACGTGTAACCTGTCCATTTTACCAAGAACTAGGCCATATTTTGGGAGACAAGAACAGAGTTTAGGCAACTTCCATAAACACTGAACACACTCTCTGTGTATGATGTTGTCGTGTCCTCCGATGCTCATGCGGGACACTTTTGGGACATTTAAAGTTCACACTGGAGATCACATACAAGCCACATTTAATTGCAAACGTGAACGACCTCGCAAAAAAATTGGATTTCATAAAAAATCTGAATTGAGCATTAAGCGCTGCAGTCTGAACGTAGACTTAGATTGGGATCACGTGTTGGTCAGTTACATTTCTTACAGTTTCAAAAAATACTGTACTAAAATGGAAACAAAAATGTAAAATAATAAATAAAACATCATGGGGCCAAAATTGAATCGTGAAATTTATGTTAGAAATCATGTAAAATATCTTGATTTTTCCGTCTTGTCTCATCTTGTGAAAATCATGTCTCGTCTCATCCCTAATGAAAGCTTTATTTTGAAAGATGTGTGAATATGTTTCTTTTTTTTTTCTTTAGAGTGTACTGTTTTACATATCCAGCGATACATTTATGTTTAAAAAAAAAAATTACTTTTAGTCAAAAATAGATTCTAAATAACAAACATGTGCCTGCTGTCTGTAGCCTGGGCGCCTTTTCAAAGAGCGAGTGGTCTCTCACAGACTTAGACCCCGAGTCCGTCCACACGAGGCCTTCGAGGTACTGAGTTTAGATCTGCTGTGGTCCCCAAAACTAGACCATCTCTAGACCTTCCCTAGACCCTCATCAAACCCTCCCCAGACTACCTGAATCCTACTGGTGTCCCCTCTGTTTTACATCTCAAAACACCTTTACTTCTTACTAGATCTTTAGTTTTTCCCCATTTTTTGTTGGTGTTGTAGTTTTTTTATCATTGGTAGAGTTTAGCGACTAACGTTTCCTTCATTGCTTTAATAGTTTTCATCTTTATGGCTTTGGTTTGTCTAATTTTCTAATGTCTAATTTCTTTATAAACCCTTTTCTTTGTATAGTTTAGTTCTGTATGCTGCTTCTTTGTCACAGCAACACTTTTATAATGATTACAAAGCCTCCAGTTTATTTCCGAGACGAGGTTATGTTCACGATTTACGCCCGTGTCACTTCTCCTTCTCTTTATCTTTCGTCTTTAACTCTTCCTTTTTGCCTTTGTCTCTCTCTGTTTCTCACTCTCCTGCTCTTGCTTCACTCTTTCTCCTTATTTCTCCTCCTCTTCCTCCTCGCTGTGTGGGCTGATTTGAGGCGGTGATGTTTTCAGTGACCCGTGCTTGAGGAGGGCAGCGATTTCTCCACACACACACACACACACACACACACACACACACACACAAATGTACGACAAGAGAGATTCTGCCGAGACTGCAGCTCTGCGTCTGTGGTTTAAGGATGTTGGATCAGTTATGATGAACAATAACGGCATCATAATGGATTTAGGAGAAAACTAAAGGGTAACAAAAAGTGTACCCAATACTTTTAGTGGTTTTTAGTGCTTTGGTAAACAGTTGATTTTACTTTCACTGTCAAGGTCTTAAGTCTACAGTTTATCTTTAAAGGGATAGTTCGGGTTTTTTGACATGAATCTGTATTTCATCCACACTGACTTTACCTCCGAAAGCGTCCGGTGAGCCGAGATCCTGGCCGGTTTTGGTGCTGAGGAAAGTAGTTCGGCAAGTTGGCTGGGGACAGTAAAATAAAGCGTTTTTCTTCTCAAACCAATATGTGTTCAAAAGAGTGACACATTTGCACCACAAAACCTCCGTCCTCTAAAAAGTCAGACCTCATAATCACTTGGCGCTATTTTCTCTCCGTACGTATCACTACCCGTTTCACTTTGTTAACTGCTCGGAATGTTTGCCTCTTCTCTCTCTCTGCCTAATTTCGTCTAACTCTCTCTTTCGGCATTGTTATATTCGGGTTCAAAAAGATCTCCCATTGGCTCTGTGCTAAAATCAGTTTCTTCATCATCGGTGTCGTAGTCAGACATGTTGTTGCTGACATTCCGAGCAGTTAACAAAGTGAAACAAACGCAGTGATACGTACGGAGAGAAAATAGCGCCAAGCGATTATGAGGTCTGACTTTTTAGAGGACGGAGGTTTTGTGGTGCAAATGTATCACTCTTTTTAACACATATTGTTTTGAGAAGAAAAACGCTTTATTAGACTGTCCCCAGCCAACTTGCCGAACTACTGTCCTCAGCACCAAAACCGGCCAGGATCTCGGCTCACCGGACGCTTTCGGAGGTAAAGTCAGTATGGATGCACCACATGCTGACGGGGATACCATGCAGATTCATGTCAAAAAACCTGAACTATCCCTTTATGGTCATGTTCCTGTTTTTTCCCATTTATATGAACAAACTTGTGTCACTGTAGACCAGAGGAGTCAAACTCAAATTTACAGAGGCCAAATTAAAAACTGGGACTAAGTCGTGGGCCAAACTAAATATTTATTGAGAAATTTCAACAAAATCTGCATGTTTTCTCTTCTTTCGAGATATGTAATGTTAAACGTTTTCTCATAGGCGAGTTTGAGCTGACGTCATTGTTATTAAAAGTCCACGTTGCTGCTGGGAAATATTTTGGTCGGAGGCAAGAAACACGATAGCGTCAAACACAGTGCGTAACCTCGCGTATTTATCCCCGATAATGGTAAATTCCTGCTGCATTATCGGATGCACAAATAGAAGCACAGGAAAAGAAGGAAAATGTCTTTTTCGTATTCTGAGTGAAAAGAACCGCTAACGGTGAATTAAACGACTTTCAAACATTCGCAGAGCAAACGTAGAAGATCCTAACAAACCGTGGACTCCAACAAGTTCAACAACACATCGAGACTCTTGGAGGTTTTCATCTTTTCTGCTGTGAATGGCCCAGGAGTTTCCACCAAGTCATTGTGGATATCGCCCAAGTGAATATTTGTCCAGGTAGTTGGAGATTCTGACCAGAAATTTGGTTTGGTCCAACTTTTGTCGGGGTTGAAAAGGGTGATTTGTCGTCCGTCGATGCTTATGACCAATTTCTGGTCAAATGGTCTTGGGTCCTCTGCCGTTAGAGTGGATAAATAACCAGGATCAATACCCTTTACGTGCTTTCTCACTCCGTCCATCATGTTGAATTAGTGTTTCTTGCCGCCGACCAAAATAATTCCCAGCATGCAACGCGCGCTTTTGTCAACAATGAAACTCGCCTATTAAAATAAATGTTTACTAATAGTTTTGCTTAAACATTGAATCCAGAACAAGCACAATATAAAATAATAACAACATTTTAAATAAATAATGTCTCTATAGTTTATCTGGGCAGCTCTAATTATATTATGGACCAAATTTGCCGCCTGGACCTGAGTTTGACATGTCTGCTGTGGAACATTGTTTCCCAAAGACTGAGTCGTGACCCTCAGGTGGGTCACAAGAGATTTTTTTGGGGGTCACCTTGTCACAATCTGCATGTAGATGAGAGCGAGAGAGTCAGTGAATCCTGTTAGTCTGAACGAGTTTGCCTGCAGCTGAAGTTAAGAAATGCTTGGTAGGTTGTGCAAAAAGAAGGTTGATAAATCAGCAAAGGTCAGAGCACTTCAGGGAAAATTTCATCAAATGCCCGTCCCTAATCTGAATACGAAGGTAAGTGAGGAAGAACTCTGGACAGTTTCAAATGAACCAGTTCTCTTTTTACATTTTTAAGAGACTAAAAATCAGGCACAGCGCCAAAAAAAAAACCCTATTCTCATTTGTAAATATTTTCTCCAAGAATCCGTGCGAGGGAGCGATTGCAGCGTGACGACCCGGCCCAGAGACCTCCAGACTGGAGTCCCGACCGGCACCACGGGGACCCCACCCAGCCCCGTCACCGCACCCAGGGAAACGCGCCTCAGTTCAGCTCCCACCACCACCACCCCGAGACCCCCCACCACCGGACCGTCCACCAGCCCCAGCCCAGCCCGGCTCACCACC